AGGAAGGAAGGAAGGAAGGAAGGAAGGAAGGAAGGAAGGAAGGAAGGGAAGAAAAGGAGGGAGAGAGGAAAGAGAAAGGGAGGGAAGGAGGGAGGGAGGAAAGAGAAAGGGAGGGAAGGAGGGAGGGAGGAAAACCTCACTTAATGTCTTCTCTTATTTTATTATTTCTAAAGGCTATATCTGTTCATAAAAAAATCAACTTATTGATAGAGGTATTATGGTTTAGAATCTTAAAACAAATTTTACAGTGAAAGTGACTTAAATACAAAGACGTGAGCTCATCTGTCCTCATTAGATAGTTCAGCAGCCACCCGCAGACCCCAGCAGGTCTCCAGTCCTGGGAGGCCGGGTGCCTGCTTTCCTGGCACACCTGAAGACCTGAATCCCACCTACCTCTCATGGGAGACTTCATGGCAGCTTCCACCATTCCCACCAGGAGCTGGAGACTTTTGGGATCTTGAGCCAGCCCAGATGCAAAGGCTGCCAGGGCGTCCGCGTGACGTCCAAGGTACTGGAGGGCAACACCCTGTCGGAAGTATGCCTGGGAACACAGGAAGAGAAGAAAGGTTCTTTCTTATTACACTGCCGTCCAGAGTGCCCACCGGGATTCTTTACCGGGGCTGTAAATGAGATGCCTGTGGGTCAAAACCAGGGTAAAGGGTTCATAACTAAGAACTCACATCTTCTACACGTCGCAAATTGTTCATTTCTCAGACACACTGACTCTTCTGTTCACTGGCATTGATCCTCATGTTGCTTCTAAAGGATTTAAAACATGGTTCTTGGGCTGGAGCTATATATAGCCCAGTTGATACTGTGCTCACCCACCATGCACCACAAAAAGTCACTGTGGTAGCCCAAGAGAAATTCTCATTCTTAACCACCCTTAGTATCCTGTAATCCTAGCACTTGAGAGATAGGGGAAGAAGGAACAACAGGTCAAGACTATCCTTGGCAGCAGAGCAAATCTGAAACATCCTCCATAAGGATGGCTTGGAGATTTCCTGATATCTTACCATGGTGCCTAGTATGGCACATTAACAATGGAGAGTGAAATACAACTTCTGTCGTATATGCCTAGTCAGTCACATCATGTGCCCTGTCATCACATCATGTGCCCTGTCACATCATTCTGTGGTTTGCTTCTCTGTTGTGTGATAGAATACTGACCAAAAAACAACCTGGGGAAGAAGAGATTTTATTTGGTGCATGAATTATGTTCCCTTATTAACAGAAGGCAGGAAGGAAAGCTGGGAACACGCAGGAATGGAGGAATGCTACTCACTGATCACTGGCTCTTGCTTGCCTAGCTACCTTATTTGTACATCTCAGGCCCAACTGCCTAGGGATGGAACCGCCCATGGTGGGCTGGGTCCTCCTATGTCAAGTAGCAATTAAGAGACTGCCCACAGACATGCCCATAGGCCTTTCTAAGGGAGGCAAGTCTTCATTTGAGAGTCCCTCTGCTCAGTGACTCTAGTTCATGTCAACTTGACAAAAAAGATCATGTACACATCATGTTTAAGACATCAGTTTGAACACATGCACACTTGTAGTTTTGTTTGGGGTATTTGATGGATTGTTCTTGTTGTTTGAATCAGGATCTCATGGTGTAGCCCTGGCTGGCTTCAAACTACTTGTGGCTATATATATGTCTCCCTTTACTCACTTCACCTGCAGTTACATGCTTTGTGGGGTTTCAAACATGTTTTAAAATAGTTACCTAAAATACGTGTGCTTTGCTTCAAAACAACAAGATTATTGTCCTTTGTGTCTTTTAAGGGGTTAGTTTTAAACTGGTATAAACAATGTGAACACAGATGACCAGATGAGCGTCAGCTAAGTGAAGAAATGATCAGAGAACTGAGAAATGTTTAACTATAGAGTTCTCTCTAAATTCTGTTTGTGTGTGTGTTCCAGTGTGTGTGTTTGTGTGTGCACTCGAGCCCATGTGCATGTGTGTGCGTGAATATGCACGTGTATGCATGTGTGCACATGTGTGTACATACAGTGTGTTGTGCATGCATGTGCACATGTGTGTATATGCACATGTGTGTGTGCATGTGTGCACATGTGTGTGCATGTGTGTATATGCACATGTGTGTGCTCCAGTGTGTGCTTGTGTGTGCACTCACACACGCATGTGCATGCATGAGCACGTGTGTATATGCACGTGTGTGTGCATGTGTGTAAACGTGTGTGTGTATATGCACGTGTGTGTGCTCCATCCAGTGTGTGTGTGAGCATGTGCACATGTGTGAACATGCATAGCTCAGCCTCAGGTGCCCTTCCTCGGGAACCATCCACCGTGTTTCCTCACACCCTCTTCTTTACATGGACCCAGTTCTTTATGTGGATTCTTTTACTGTGGACTAAGGCTCTGGAGCATTCTAGGTGAACAGTGTGCCAACTAAGCTATTTCCCTGACCCGAAACTTAGAATTTAAACCATAATTTGAAGTCAGTTTTGTGAAGAACAGTTTGCTTTTCAAGTACATAGAGAACAATCCACTGAAAGAATGGAATGAATGTCTCAGTGTAAAGACATATATGAAGGCAAAACACTCATGCATATAAAATAATAAAATAAATAAATCTATTTTTAAGTAACATTATTAATGTGCTCGGTTTTTGTACATCTGTTTCTAAATAAGTGGCTTCTAATTCTATCTATTCTTACAACACGCACTTGACCATTTTCACAAATGATATTCATGAGATCTAAATGAAGTTTCAGACGGCAAACTACTGCTGAAAATATACTTCTATCATTTTCTGTCACACAAGTACTCGGAGAACACGAGAGCAGGTGACTTTCATGTTTCCACGAAAACCCAGTTATTGCCTTGTGTAGCAGCACGCTGAGGTAATCTGAAGAAGTAAGACTATTCCGGGTTTCTACTGAGAACTAACCCATAAGGAGATGAACACTCAGATGCTCGTGGGCTGTTGTCTCTGTGGATTTGAATCAGAGGCAGCAGTGAAAGCGCAGGCGCAGTAAGGTAACCCACCCGAAAGCGCAAGCGCACTCACTCTTCGTGCTCCCTCCCTTTAGCCTTGGCCACGGTTCCCACCTTCAATGTTTGCAGATGTTTTTTTTTCATTACCCACCCTTGTTACGTTTTAGGGGGATCCAGCCATACATTCCACCTAGAAATAACCATGGTTCTACGGGTCTTGAAGAGATGCTCAGCTACAAATAAACCCTGAATTATATAATATATGCACACGTAGCTTGGGTGTGGTGGCACAACCAGGAAATCCCAGGCCCCAGTGAGGCTGTGGCAGGAGAATTGCTAAGAGTTTGAGGCCAACCTGATCTGCACAGTGTGTTTCAGGCCAGCCTGGGCGCCAGAGAGAGACCCTATCTCAAAATAAAAAATAAGTGTTAAATACTTGATACATATAAATGTGTTGGGTATCTATAAAAGTAAGAGTTACTGCTGAGGGAGGGAGACAATATCTAGAGTTACTGGTTTCCGGTATGTATTATGAGAAACAAAAATCTTAAATAGTTTCAATTTTGAAAACTCCTTGTATGCCTAAAACAAAACTCAATCGCCCATTATTTCATTGAGAGATCAATGTTTTCACGGTTTATCAAGCAAAATGATGAAAAGTACGTTTTATTCGGCTTACCCTGGGGGAAAAAGCCAACCTGAGTAACAGACGCAGCTGTTAGCAACAGATGCTCAAGGTAGACAGCAAAGACAGACTCCCAAGGTTGTCTTCTGACCTCACAGAATGCCTAAATATATATATATACACATACATGTTTATATACACAGGTGTACACACACATGCTCAACTTGTGTTACACACACTCACACTCACGTGCAGACACATTTGTACACGTGTGCACACAATGAACATACTTGTGTTCACACACACAAACCTACACACATGTGTACACACATTTGCACATACACTCGTGTTCACACACATGCACATGCATACACACATGTGTACAACACATGCCATTTAAAGATGCAGGTTGTGGTCTCAAGTGACATGGCAGTGCTGAAGACTCTCCTTGTTTCATTTTCTTGAGACTCAAAATGAGATGAGATGGTAACACTAGACAGAGTGCCTCCCACAGCCTCTGAGATTCCTTTCCTCAGAAGCATAGGGAAGGTTCAAGGGCCTTCCACAGTTCCCCCACACCCTCTGGGTACTGTCACTTAGTGCTTGACAGTGCCCACAGGATGAGGCGGCATGTCTGAACAGCATGCTCCACATTAGGTGACCATCAAGTGGGGCCCTCCCTGCTCTTTCCCCAGCAACAAGGCACTGCAGAATAAAATTAATTCTTTAGACTTCTGTGAGTGATGTGCCACAGTAAAACTTGAGCTGATAATGATAAAAGTGAGATTGTGGTTTATTGTCACAGAGCAGAGAACTCAGCACAGCACCTGACACAGAACAGCTGTCTTTGCTAGCTAATGAAAAAAAATGACTTAATAAGAACACATGAAGCCGGGCGGTGGTGGCGCACGCCTTTAATCCCAGCACTCGGGAGGCAGAGGCAGGCGGATTTCTGAGTTCGAGGCCAGCCTGGTCTACAGAGTGAGTTCCAGGACAGCCCGGGCTATACAGAGAAACCCTGTCTCGAAAAACCAAAAAAAAAAAAGAACACATGACTCTAGACTAAGAGAATATATGGAATTCTAGTATATAAGAATTAAAAATATTAGTCATCCTCATCCTGTGGGTGAGTCACCCGACCCTCCCTGTCACATCCCCTCCACAACCTGCAGATGTAGCCTAGGGCCCACAACCAGCACCCTGGCCTCGTCTAGCCACAACGACCCACACTGCATCAACCTTTAGGCTTCCACAGGCGCTGCCCTGCCAGCCCCCACCGCACACAGCATCCGGTCTCTCCACTCAGTCAGCAAGACTCTGCTGGTCATTGTTCAGGGTCTAGCTGGGCAGGTTATCCGCAGGAAAAGTAAGGGGAGAAACATCATAATGAAATGAATCATCAGATGGGCAAGACGGACATCTACAGAATATTCCACCTAAATATCATTAAACACACGTTCTACGCGGCAGCAAGCGGAAGCTTCCTAAAATGCCGCGTCCTATGTCATGAGGCAAATCTATACGAATTCAGAAAGACTGAAATAATTCCATGTATTCCAGCTGGCCATAATGCAATAAAACTTAAAATTGACAGCAAAAAGAATCTCTAGTAAATGCACAAACCCATGAAGATTAAATAACTCATTACAGGATGATGAATGGGTCAAAGAAGAAATCAAGACAGAAAAAAAAAATCCCTGGGACTCAATATAAAAAGAAAACACAACACAGCAAAACCTCTGGGACACAATGAAAGCTGCCCTCTGAGGGAATTGTAGAGTTCTGAGTGCTTAGATTTAAGAAGTCAGCAAGGACACAATTTATATAATTTATATAATTATATATATATATATAATTAAATTATATATATATATCATTAAATTATATATATATATATATATCAAACTTAATGAATCTAAGACTTTGTTCTTTAAGATAAACAACATCAATAAACCAT